CACAAACCAAATCACTCTTGATGGAGATGCCTTGGAGGATGTTAACACCTTTACATATCTGGGCAGCATCATCGACAACCAAGGTGGATCCGATGCAGATATGAGGGCGCGGATTGGCAAAGCAAGGGCTGCATTTCTACAATTGAAAAATATCTGGAACTCCAAACAAATACCAATCAACACCAAAATCAGGATTTTCAATACAAATGTGAAGACAGTTCTACTGTATGGAGCGGAAACATGGAGAACTACCAAAGGCATCATCCAGAAGATACGAGTGTTTATTAACATCTGCCTACGCAAAATACTTCGTATTCGTTGGCCAGATACCATCAGCAACAACTTGCTGTGGGAGAGAACAAACCAGATTCCAGTGGATGAGGAAATCAGAAAGAAGCGCTGGAAGTGGATAGGACACACATTGCGGAAAGCACCTAACTGTGTCACGAGACAAGCCCTCACATGGAACCCTCAAGGCAAAAGGAAAAGAGGAAGGCCAAAGAATACCTTACGCCGAGAAATAGAGAAAGATATGAGAGGAATGAACAAACATTGGACAGAACTGGAGAGAGAAGCCCAGGACAGAGTTGGTTGGAGAAAACTGGTGGGCGGCCTATGCTCCATTGTGGGTAACAGGCATAAGTAAAGTAAGTAAGGTTTGATCAGTTTAATGCAGGGGATAGCCAGTGTCAAATAAGATTGTTTGAAGTGTTCTAGTATGAAAAATATGGTTTAAGAAGTACATTTTACACACACTTGTAACAGTAAACCAAAAACTACTAACTCTTTTTCTGTACCGGACATCCTGCTACTACACGAACGGTATATTTAGTCTCATTTCCAGTGTCATACCAGATTGGTTATAATCATTTCACAAATAGAGGAAAAATAAAACGAATATAGAGAGAGTATGGAGCAACCTTGTAGAGCCACTCACTATTCATTCATTGCACTTCAGCGATTTTTCATTTAAATTGTGGTCGATATTAGTAGTATCGATCATCATTTTGTATTTTTCATAATTCAATTACTTACAGTATCGATAATTGTATATTTGATTGTGTGTGTGTGGTGTGTGGATGCTTACTCGTTTATCACATGTCTAGCCTATCGTTGCTTGACAATGAATACTTGGTCATTTCTTCAGCACAGGGAAAGTTGGCTCATCAGCCTTCTGCAATTCGCTTCGCTTCGCCTGCATACTTTCCATTCTAATTGTTTGTCTGCATAAAGAAATACATACTCTCGATAAACTGCGACGCCAACAACTGTGCCTCCGACTCCTCATCGATATTCGGCAACGCACGGCGCAACAATCTGGTAAGCTCCACAGCCAGGATCAGTGTGTCACCACCGGAACTTCTGCAGCGCTTGCTCCCTGTCCAATGTACTGTCGAACTCCGTCATCAACCGCTCCGTGACAGTCTCCCATGTCGTCTTCCCGCCAGCACCGTCGAAGCCGTCGAAAATACGGCCTTTGTCCTACCTCTCAGTAGCATCCCCAGCACCACCAACTTCGCCTTCGGCTCCTTCACACCCACCAGGTCCGCCACGGCCTCAAACTCCTTCAGCCATGGAATTTTCATCCTTCGCGTATGCAGTGAAGTGAAGTAGTGAAGGAGTACACAGGTGACGGCGACCGAATTGTATTTATCCCAAATTACAGAGTTGATTGGTAAAATAGAAAAAAAACCATATCGTAAATCGTTCATCTGCAAAATATCAGTTCATCATATCGAACTGGACTGTTCCTGTTGCAAAACATCAATCCATTGTCACTGTTCATGCGTTTCATACAAATTCCATTGTGTTCTAACTCTTCCTTTCTTGATCTTCCCCCATCTTCTGCTGCCAGACATTACGTTTTTACTCACGTCATATACTACTTATAAGTAGCGCGCCGTTACACAAACGGGGTGAGCATAGGTTTACTGTATGGAAATGTGAAGGAAGATTTATTTCATCACATGCTCGATCATTCGTTTACACTGTAGGATTCAAACTGAGGTTTGAACTAAGGAATAACTGTCTAGGTAGGTGAGATACGCGCTATTGCCCAGTTGAAATCCAGAACAAGTGATTTGGGTAAATGACGGTTCTAATATTCAGCATAAATACAAATATATACTTCATCACCTAAACAAATATTACCACTCAGTTATTCCTTCAACAATTAATCAATTATTCTAATCAACAGCAACAAATAAATGTTATTTTATCCCTCCTCCTGGATAGATCAGATTCGTTCGAAAGATAATATTTGGTTGCTTTATAACACAGTGTTTCCAATTCTGGAAGAGTGCTTCAATTCACAATCAAAATGCACAATTCCAGTCAGTGCAACCAATCCAATCAAAAGAGGAACGAAATCACTATGGCTGTCGCGTTGACTTAGTATCCTCTTAAACAACATAAATGCAATTCAGAAAGAAACATAGAAACTCAGTGAAGGCCAAAGAAATAGAAACTATAATAAAATACAAATATTATCATCTCCTAAATGGAACTGAACAGTCTAATAAAATGTACAACTGAAGGAATCTCAATAAGAACAAATTACAAATGTGTATACATGGAGGGATTTTCACGAAGAAAGCCTTCAAAAAATGAATCTTACACAGACTCGAGTCCAGTCTTGAGCCATATCAGATTGGTTATAATCATTTCATAACTAGAGAGTAAACAAAACAGATACAGAGAGCATGGAATAACCAAAAGGTAGTGATGACAAGGATACTCCAATCTGGTCTACCATGATTTAAGTGCAAGATTCTTTTATGATTTCTTGTTTGGGTTAAATACTCTATTCAATTTAGTTAAATTTACAAGGGAATAGTTTTAGTGTAACGTTTCAACATGTAAAGAGGTTAAATTTGTAAGCATAGTAATAAAACAACTGAAGATTAAGAGTTCCGATAATTTCACTTATGCAGTGGGTTATACTTTCAGCTGGATGCACAGTTAATTCATTTACTGAGGAGTAGTAGGCGTCGATGCAGCATCCTGGATAGATTACGGTAAATTATTCCAGATTCTCGGAAATTTACTAGCAAATTAATTCATATAAAGAGACGATTTAGAATGAGCTTGTATCATTAATGACATGAAATTACAGAAGCTATAACTAGGAGTTTCTGCATATTGGATTTGCATTGTTGGATGCAAGACATAGCTAATTAGCCTTTTTAGGAAAAAAGAAATCAGATTTTGTCTAAGTCTTCTGTTGTTCCATGAAGGATCGATTCCAAGTATAATCTATCTGTATTTATAAATCAAAGTACTATTGTGATGCTGTGGTGCGAGCTACTTATAAGTAGTATATGGCGTAAGCGTCAACGTAATGTCTGGCAACAGAAGATGGGGGAAGATTAAGAAAGGAAGAGTTAGAAAACAATGGAATTTGTATGAAACGCATGAATAGTGGACAATGGATTGATGTTTTGCAACAGGAACAGTCCAGTTCGATATGATGAACTGATATTTTGCAAATGAACGATTTACGATATGGTTTTCCTATTTTACTGATTAACTCTTTAATTTTCGTTAAATACAATTTGGTTGCCTCACCTGTGTTCTCCTTCACTAAACAATTAGTTCCAAGAATGTAAAGTGTAACTCACTTCTAAACGGATTCCAACTTTAATTCATCCCAAATGCAAAAACTACTAAGAATAAAGGTGCAGTATTTTCGGAAGTGGTCGAACACCTATAATTTGTACATTAAACTGCATGTTTACGCAATGGACAACCTAAAAGACGTTGAATCTTGGAAGTCTGTTTAGTTACCGATTCTAAGAAGGACAAATTATTGGAGTATTGAAGTCCAAAGTACATTACTGTATGACATTTCGATAACAGCCTCTCGTTTATGATTCCCTCTTGATTGAATAAAGGATTATCATAAAAGATTTATCCACTTTAGACACTGCTCAGCTGCAACTTCCATTTTGAGACCTTTGAAACTATAAACAAGTCTAAAACTGATATTCATGTATTCTACCTATTATATTCAAGGAAAAATAATCTTTCAAGACGTAACTGTTACTTGCGCTTACTTGCATATACCTGTTACTGACTAGCATTCTCTAACCGACTTTATCCTGAGCCCTCTTTTTCTGTTTTACCCAATCGCTTTTCATTCTTTTCATGTTGGTCTTCGATTTTCAATGCAATGTATTCCCTAATCTGTCACTTTTTCTTTCACACTGATGGTTCCATGTTAAGGCTTGCCTGACCTAACAGTTAGGCGCTCTCCGCAATATTTGTCCTATCCACCTCTAGCACGTTTTCTTAATTTCTTACTTAACTGGAATCTAGTTTGTTCTCCCCCAAGAGTAAATCGTTGATTAATAAAATAACTCACTCCATTTTAATTAGGCAGTAAACATGTAACTGACGAATCAATAATTTTAATAATCCTATATTCATATTAGTCAAGCCTTCTGCTTGTACAATCGTCAATTCGCACTGCCACTGATGAGTGCCATTCTGAGACAAAACAACCACCATTCAATACTTGCAGATTTTTAATGCTACTCTAACACTGATCAATTCATGATCAACAGTTCAAGATCAACAAAGCGCACAATCCTATAACTAGCTCCCGAAATTCTAGTGCAAAACCGTGACCAGTGTTGTTCAGCTATGTTGTGTATGAATGCAACAGTTACACCGTCGAACAAAATGAACAATAGTCTCAAAATATTATGAATTCAATTCAGTTAGATCGCTAGCTACACCGTTAGATAGCCTGCTCAATATTCAAGATGTTAAGCATTCGCGCGCGCAACAACAAAACCTCCCGTCTTCGATTTCTTCTGGCCAGCTGATCAATGCACACTCTTCATGAATCCTATACTAGAACGAAATGACCATTCCTAGTGCTTACAAATGTCAAATGCTGGTCTATAACATTGATCAATTCATCAGCTCAACGATATTCAATCAATATTTAAGTACTATACATTCATTATGATATCAAAAAAGAGAACATTATTTTTCTAATGACATAGAAATTTTCTTGTCAAGCGTGTTTTATACAAATGTGAATACATAAAATGAAACAATACAAATACTGAGCAAAAATACACTGTTCATATATTTATTTGCGGAATTAGGAAGTTCTTTCATTCTTCCAGATAATTCATCTAATAAGCGTCGTAGTTCTTCAACTTCTTTCTTGAATTGTTCGTCAATAAAATCTGCTGTTCTATTCATAAATCCATGGTCTTCATGAAAGTGTGTACCCTGGCTTAGAAGTACTGGTTGTACCTCAGTTGTATCTCCGCCAGTTTCATAAGTAGTTTCGTTTCCAGTAGTACTTTGTTCTTGAGCTTCCGCAATTCGTAATACAACAAAATACACACTAATACAAATGGCAAACACTCTCCAAATCATTGAAATATATATATATTCCTTTGAAATTTGAATAAATAATTCAACAGGAACAAGTTGTTTATATACCCTGATATCGACATGTCTTGTTACATGTTTGGAAAGAGAAAGTTTTTTTTAGTTGGTAGGTAATTCAATGTTTTCAATTCGAAACATGTTTTTCATATTGTTTTTTTGTGTGAACGTTTATGATTTGTGTTATTATTATTATTATTATTATTATTTTGTGAAAAATGTCATAATCTTGACTGAAATTGTTTGCCAAAAACGGCAAAATTGGATGATGACACATAGATGCGTTTTTAAATCACTCTTATGATGATTTGTGTTTTATGCAAATTGCGAATCATCAGTTAATCATTGTTAGACTATCATTAGAAATATGGAAGCACTGACAGATGGCTGTTTCGTCTTGGTGTGGGACTCATGAGTGACAGTGCGTATCCATGGATCCTGCACCAAGCAGGATTCGAACCAAGGACCTTCGACATTGAGCGTGAGCGCCCAACATCTGTACTCCTGGTTTGGCATCCACTGATCACGGCTTCTCACTAAAATCACCAATTGATCATTGTTAGATCACCATTAGAATCCTGTTACAACTGCGCGGCCATTTCTTCTTAGTACAGGACTCATAAAGCGTTCTCTTGTGAGACGGAAAATCCTGCTGTCCGATTTCTGAGAGTGGGAGTCGTGGATGCGTGCTGCGCTTATGTTATCCAGAATAATGTTGACTTTCGGCAAAATGGATGACATATAAATGCGTATTTAAATCATTCTTATGTATTTATCTAGAGTTATGATGATTGGTGTTTTCTGCACATTGCCAATCATCAATTAATCATTGTTAGACCATTATTAGAAATCTGGATGCATTGATAGATGGCCGTTTCGTCTTGGTATGGGACTCATCAGTCGCAGTGCGTATCCATGGATCCTGCACCAAGCAGGATTCGAACCAAGGACCTTCGACATTGAGCGTGAGCGCCCAACATCTGTACTCTTGGTTTGGCATCCACTGATCACGGCTTCTCACTAAAATCACCAATTGATCATTGTTAGATCACCATTAGAATCCTGTTACAACTGCGCGGCCATTTCTTCTTAGTACAGGACTCATAAAGCGTTCTCTTGTGAGACGGAAAATCCTGCTGTCCGATTTCTGAGAGTGGGAGTCGTGGATGCGTGCTGCGCTTATGTTATCCAGCATAATGTTGACTTTCGGCAAAATGGATGACATATAAATGCGTATTTAAATCATTCTTATGTATTTATCTAGAGTTATGATGATTGGTGTTTTCTGCACATTGCCAATCATCAATTAATCATTGTTAGACCATTATTAGAAATCTGGATGCATTGATAGATGGCCGTTTCGTCTTGGTATGGGACTCATCAGTGGCAGTGCGTATCCACGGCTCCTGCACCAAGCAGGACTCGAACCAGGGACCTTCGACACTGAGCGTGAGCGCCAAACATCTGTACTCCTGGTTTGGCATCCACTGATCACGGCTTCTCACTAAAATCACCAATTGATCATTGTTAGATCACCATTAGAATCCTGTTACAACTGCGCATCCATTTCTTCTTAGTACAGGACTCATAAAGCGTTCTCTTGTGAGACGGAAAATCCTGCTGTCCGATTTCTGAGAGTGGGAGTCGTGGATGCGTGCTGCGCTTATGTTATCCAGAATAATGTTGACTTTCGGCAAAATGGATGACATATAAATGCGTATTTAAATCATTCTTATGTATTTATCTAGAGTTATGATGATTGGTGTTTTCTGCACATTGCCAATCATCAATTAATCATTGTTAGACCATTATTAGAAATCTGGATGCATTGATAGATGGCCGTTTCGTCTTGGTATGGGACTCATCAGTGGCAGTGCGTATCCACGGCTCCTGCACCAAGCAGGATTCGAACCAGGGACCTTCGATATTGAGCGTGAGCGCCCAACATCTGTACTCTTGGTTTGGCATCCACTGATCACGGCTTCTCACTAAAATCACCAATTGATCATTGTTAGATCACCATTAGAATCCTGTTACAACTGCGCATCCATTTCTTCTTAGTACAGGACTCATAAAGCGTTCTCTTGTGAGATGGAAGATCCTGCTGTTCGATTTCTGAGAGTGGGAGTCGTGGATGCGTGCTGCGCTTATGTTATCCAGAATAATGTTGACTTTCGGCAAAATGGATGACATATAAATGCGTATTTAAATCATTCTTATGTATTTATCTAGAGTTATGATGATTGGTGTTTTCTGCACATTGCCAATCATCAATTAATCATTGTTAGACCATTATTAGAAATCTGGATGCATTGATAGATGGCCGTTTCGTCTTGGTATGGGACTCATCAGTGGCAGTGCGTATCCACGGCTCCTGCACCAAGCAGGATTCGAACCAGGGACCTTCGATATTGAGCGTGAGCGCCCAACATCTGTACTCTTGGTTTGGCATCCACTGATCACGGCTTCTCACTAAAATCACCAATTGATCATTGTTAGATCACCATTAGAATCCTGTTACAACTGCGCATCCATTTCTTCTTAGTACAGGACTCATAAAGCGTTCTCTTGTGAGATGGAAGATCCTGCTGTTCGATTTCTGAGAGTGGGAGTCGTGGATGCGTGCTGCGCTTATGTTATCCAGAATAATGTTGACTTTCGGCAAAATGGATGACATATAAATGCGTATTTAAATCATTCTTATGTATTTATCTAGAGTTATGATGATTGGTGTTTTCTGCACATTGCCAATCATCAATTAATCATTGTTAGACCATTATTAGAAATCTGGATGCATTGATAGATGGCCGTTTCGTCTTGGTATGGGACTCATCAGTGGCAGTGCGTATCCACGGCTCCTGCACCAAGCAGGATTCGAACCAGGGACCTTCGACATTGAGCGTGAGCGCCCAACATCTGTACTCTTGGTTTGGCATCCACTGATCACGGCTTCTCACTAAAATCACCAATTGATCATTGTTAGATCACCATTAGAATCCTGTTACAACTGCGCATCCATTTCTTCTTAGTACAGGACTCATAAAGCGTTCTCTTGTGAGATGGAAGATCCTGCTGTCCGATTTCTGAGAGTGGGAGTCGTGGATGCGTGCTGCGCTTATGTCATCCAGAATAATGTTGACTTTCGGCAAAATGGATGACATATAAATGCGTATTTAAATCATTCTTATGTATTTATCTAGAGTTATGATGATTGGTGTTTTCTGCACATTGCCAATCATCAATTAATCATTGTTAGACCATTATTAGAAATCTGGATGCATTGATAGATGGCCGTTTCGTCTTGGTATGGGACTCATCAGTGGCAGTGCGTATCCACGGCTCCTGCACCAAGCAGGATTCGAACCAAGGACCTTCGACATTGAGCGTGAGCGCCCAACATCTGTACTCTTGGTTTGGCATCCACTGATCACGGCTTCTCACTAAAATCACCAATTGATCATTGTTAGATCACCATTAGAATCCTGTTACAACTGCGCATCCATTTCTTCTTAGTACAGGACTCATAAAGCGTTCTCTTGTGAGATGGAAGATCCTGCTGTTCGATTTCTGAGAGTGGGAGTCGTGGATGCGTGCTGCGCTTATGTTATCCAGAATAATGTTGACTTTCGGCAAAATGGATGACATATAAATGCGTATTTAAATCATTCTTATGTATTTATCTAGAGTTATGATGATTGGTGTTTTCTGCACATTGCCAATCATCAATTAATCATTGTTAGACCATTATTAGAAATCTGGATGCATTGATAGATGGCCGTTTCGTCTTGGTATGGGACTCATCAGTGGCAGTGCGTATCCACGGCTCCTGCACCAAGCAGGATTCGAACCAAGGACCTTCGACATTGAGCGTGAGCGCCCAACATCTGTACTCTTGGTTTGGCATCCACTGATCACGGCTTCTCACTAAAATCACCAATTGATCATTGTTAGATCACCATTAGAATCCTGTTACAACTGCGCATCCATTTCTTCTTAGTACAGGACTCATAAAGCGTTCTCTTGTGAGATGGAAGATCCTGCTGTTCGATTTCTGAGAGTGGGAGTCGTGGATGCGTGCTGCGCTTATGTTATCCAGAATAATGTTGACTTTCAGCAAAATGGATGACATATAAATGCGTATTTAAATCATTCTTATGTATTTATCTAGAGTTATGATGATTGGTGTTTTCTGCACATTGCCAATCATCAATTAATCATTGTTAGACCATTATTAGAAATCTGGATGCATTGATAGATGGCCGTTTCGTCTTGGTATGGGACTCATCAGTGGCAGTGCGTATCCACGGCTCCTGCACCAAGCAGGATTCGAACCAAGGACCTTCGACATTGAGCGTGAGCGCCCAACATCTGTACTCTTGGTTTGGCATCCACTGATCACGGCTTCTCACTAAAATCACCAATTGATCATTGTTAGATCACCATTAGAATCCTGTTACAACTGCGCATCCATTTCTTCTTAGTACAGGACTCATAAAGCGTTCTCTTGTGAGATGGAAGATCCTGCTGTTCGATTTCTGAGAGTGGGAGTCGTGGATGCGTGCTGCGCTTATGTTATCCAGAATAATGTTGACTTTCAGCAAAATGGATGACACATTAAAATCATTTCTGTCTATTTCTTTAGAATTATGGTGATTAGTGTTTGTTGCACATTTGAAATCATCGAATAATCATTGTTAAACCACTATTAGAAATCTAGAAGCAATGAGAGACGGCCGTTTCGTCTTGGTGTGCGACTCATCAGTGGCAGTGTGTATCCATGGATCTTGCATCCCGCAGGACTCGAACCCGGGACTATCAGTCTTGAGCAAGAACGCCCAACCTCTAGATCACTGGGCCGGCATCTAATGGTGTCCTTACCTAACTCTGATTGATCTAGGGATTTTGCGCTACTCTATCCATTTGTCTTTGGTGGTTGCTGCCTACATCCGACGGGGTTGAACTCCACTTGTCATGCTTTCTCACTGGAA